AGCCTGTGGATTCAAACTAAGTAAAAAATCTCACCTGCCTGGCTTATCACCTTCACATTTGTTCAGTTTAATTCAGTTTTGTTTATATAGCACCAACTCACAAAAACAGTTGCTGCAAACAGTTGCGCTTTGTATTGTAGGGAAAGACCGTATAATAATAGAAAGAAAACCTCAACTATCAGATGTACCCTTATGAGCAAGCGCTTGCAGACAGTGCGAAAGAAAAACTCCCTTTTAAGAGGAAGAAACGTTCAACAGAACTAGTCTAATGAAGTCTGACTTGTTGGGGGTGGGGAGAAAGAGAAGAGAGTCATATAATAGTGTGTAATCACACTGAGAATGTAAAGAGGTGAGCAAAAAAGAAATATTCAGTGCATTAGATGACTTAGACTATTAGCATAACTGAAGTATGGTTCAAGGTCACCTGATCTAGCCCTAACTGTAAGCTTTATTCAGTAATGCAGCAGGAGGCACAAAAGTGGCAACACTTTTGACACACAATTCTGCATTAGTAAGGATTTGTTGATGAGTTGACTTGTTACAATACAAATGCAATGTCTGTCACTGGTAGGACAAAACTAAATCCAATATAATTTTGTAGTTCATCAGTAAATCAAAAATATATTGGAGTTCCCTTCACAAACAGCAAGAAGCAGGTCCAAAATAACCCGGAGCGAACAACAGAGACTGAAAGATGCACAATACAATTGAAGAGAAAATCATGCGAGGGAACTAAAATCCAAAACAGTCATACTGACAAAGTATGATTTCCTCAAATAAGAATCATGGCGGGACATCTGTATTTTCATTTTTTAAAAGCATCCAACAAAAGCTATTTGATTTGTATCTACAGAAGAGCAGAAGGTCCGTATAATAATACTGAAAGCACCAAATTAAGTGTCAAATCTCAAAACTCACACTAAAAGTGAATGCAAAACGGTGTCATAAGTAAGAAAATAAAGAATAAATAATGTCAGAATAATAAACCTTCTCATAACACTCATAATACAATCTGTTTCAGACTGCTGAGGTAAAGTAATTAGGACAAACTAGATCATACAAGGATAATACAAATGCAGAACTTGCACGCTTACGTGAGCAAAGGATGTGGTTAGAAGTCAAAACACAAAAGATTGTGCTGATACATGCCAACAGTGGAAACTAGCCGTATAAAAGGGTCATCTTGACACGCCTACAATTACAAATTAACTGCCACGATGCACGGTCTGCAAAACATTCTGCTCATCTATATTCTGAGATGTCT